AAAATGCGGAAATGATGTAAAAATAAATTAATATAGTTAGCAATAACGAAAAAAATTGTTTTCGAATAATTTACAGCAGGTAAAACAAATAAGAAAATATGTCGTCAAGGCTCCTAAAACATCGCAGATCGCGCATATGCTAATGATTCACACCGTAGCTAGTGTACGTAAAAGAACATAAGTTATTATGTATTCCAATACCGAAACATTTTACAATACAATGGTGTATCGTGTTTATATTCTATGCGAAGCGCTGGTTTCCTCGGTTGACTCATTTCTCAAGATCCTGTGCTAACCTTTCACAAAGACAAGTGATTTATCCTTTTTGAATTAATTATAGGCCAAATAGGACAAATCACCTATTCGTTCGTTAGTCACTGATCTAGCTGACTAGACTATAGAGCAGAAAATCTAAGGATTCGTTTAGTCAATTTAGAGTCTTTTATTGTAAAAAAATATAGTGTTATAAAAAAGGTATCCAAGTTTGTTACGATAACACGTGATTTTAAATTGCACTCCAATTAAATGAAATGAATCATTCGGCCATACATTTTCCAGTTCGCTTTAAAAAAATGATTCACTGTTACCCACTCTCCCCTACCCCTTTCACTAGGTACTCACGAGGCCACGAGCTTTCATTATTTAGGTGTTCCTGGCCAGATAGATAATTTGTATAATTGTCTTCTGTAGACTTGTCTATTCTCAACACCGACAATCATTTTAATCTCTGTTCACATTAAAAAAAATACTACGAATAGATAAATAAACTGATCATTCAAAAAATTATTGGAACATCAATTCAAAATAAATTCGCAACGGTCGAATATCATGATAAGAATAGTTTATAAACGACATATTGTAATAAAACGATTAAAAACATGTTAATAATTGTACCTACTTTTTAAAAAAAAGAACCAGTGATCTGATATCCGCCGTGTGAGTCATCGACATGTTAAGTTGTTAAATGATAAATAAACAGTATTTGTAATTTGTTCAATGTGTCATCTATTCTTTCGTACATTAAGTACTTAGAATTTATATAACATTTTTCATAATAATTTACTACGTAGATATCAATAATTAGAAAAAGAATAAAAGTAAGGTACTCCATTTTATGTGTGGAACCGCTGCTATACGACTTACGAGTTGCGAATTTATTAAAATAGTTAAGTTTAGAATAAAAGTTAATAAATTCTATCTAGACAATGAGAAACTGTGAATAAATAAACTAAGTGATACAGATAATAAATAAATTAACAACTGCAGTAGACATAAGAAGAAAAGAAATGGTTAAAAACTTAAATTAATGCACTTGGATAAGTAAGTAATAAAAATGAATGATAAAACAAAATATAATTTCCGTCAAATTAAATGCTGAAGTGTGAACGAAGACTGACTTCAGACGTTTGAAAGTGCGATAACCCGCTGAAATAATCGGAGCATGAATTTTGTATGAATATGAGACTATTTGGGTACATAGAATACCTGCCTAGACTGTAGACATTGTATGTGCAGTCTGTGCTTACTATTAATTTTAACTGCCTGACTTAGATTAAGGTGTTATAATTCTATGCTGCCTGACTATTCTGACTGCCTTGTTGGCCGAGTGGTCGCAAGTGAGACTGCCAAGGGGTCTCGGGGCCGATTCCTCGGTCGAGCAAAGTTATACTAGGTTTGACTGACTATGTATGCACTGACTACTGTATCTTACGAATTGACATAGGTATTATGGTATAGAAAATTGACCAGGGGAAGTTGAACAGCTGTTCAAATAGGTAACTTTGCGTGTGTCGCAACATGCAACTATATGACTACTCAATTATTTCTCCGTTTTAAGATCTTTCTTTGATATTCATTAGGGAATGGCTACGGCCACGTGGTTCAAAAAAGAAATGTCCAATCTATAAACAATTATTCATAATATTGACAACATAGTACCTATCTAATATTATCTTAAATTTTTCTATGACTATCTCTCCACAGTACAAATGAAGGACTATACAACAAAGCAGATTGTTTTGGAAACATTAGCTAGTCATTGTTTGTAAACTTGTACAGGAACGATGTCACTGTTATGCAGTAGGCTACAGCAGGCTCGAAGGTTGCTAAATAAATGTACTTAAGAAATGTGCTGCTTATTAGTCACAGGCCATAACTTACAAGGAACTGAATCAGTGGACTCCGCTGACGCCGATTCAACTGTGTGGTATTGACTCATCGTCGTAGTACGCATGTGCGACAGTGAGTCACAGTATGGACAAGCCACCAAGCACCGGAACAGATTAAGCGCAGTTTAATAAACTTTGTCTAAACAAGTGGCGTGTAATGCCAGAGGTTAAGACGTCGTGATCTCCAACATTACCATTACTTTGTTACTTGCTTACTAACTACAAAACTTTCATCGAATCTTTACAATTTAAAAATAATCAGAAAGTTTTCTCAGCATTATTCTCACGTTTTTTGCTTAGCTTAGATCAGTATTGCCAATAAACTGCAACTGATGTTTCTTTTTACACATAATTAATTATTGCACCGCAGAGCAGACATCTAGAGTAGAATGAGAATTGAGACCACAAAAAAGGTAGAACACGAAGTTTAGTTAGACAAATTTGCAAGGCAAATTATTCAATCCTTTCACAACTTCACTAAAGCAATAATCCGTCGGAAACGCGTCTAAATGGGCCATTGTGTTGGGGCAAGTAACGATAAATAGTTAACCGACAACCCTTGTCTGTGGTGCGTCAGTGCACAGATAATGTGCAGCTACACAGCTAGCTATAGACAGTAGAATGACTCCAGTGAATGAGTCATTGTCGTGATATTCGAGTCTCCGTGCGTTCCTCCCGACCCTCGACACATTACCATTTTATATTGATAAAACAACGCTCCTACATCGAGTAGACACTCGATACTTTCTACCTTAATACTACTTACAAGGGTCTCTCTTAACTCTGAACTATGTATTTAGTGAGGTACCTTATTTACTAATAACAAACTTACAGTCTACAGTAACGGATAGTTTTACAGCAGCATGGAATCATGGATGGACAAAGACTGACAATGATAGCTTTTTTTAACAATTCGTAATTTCGTGCCATTTTTCTAAAGAATAAAGAAATATTGAGGTTATAGTTAATAGCTAAATGTGCCATAAAATAATGTTGATGTATCTATTACATTATGCACAATCACTAGCAACAAAACTTAAGTGTACACCTGCAAATCCAGAGACATCATAAATGCGTTGCCGACCGTTTTCTGATCGATCAGTGATGTAACTAAAATATTTTGTTGAGTGCGTGCAAGCAATGATATGACACACATTTCAATTAGTTTACCGTCCCTGCTATAGGACACAGACATCTATTCTAAAAATTCTATAAGATAAACTATTGTTCCCTTATACCCAGAGGAAATAATATATACAACATCATCATCTTATCGATTGTAAAAACACACACATTACTGGAATAGCCAACAATGGGGGCGAACCTTCGACCTCCAACGTCACACTTCACTAGTCATCAAGGTCACTAAGACACTATTTAATTCACTTTTCACTATTACTTTCTTTAACACATAAAGTACCAATACATGGATAGGTTTTCGTAAAATAAAATACCGCAGGTAACAAGACTTTATCATTTTTATAATCTTTTTAACAATCAATCAATAAGGTGAGGTCATTGAACTTGTGATAAAGATTGTTGTGAACTTGGATTTTTGTCTCGAAATTCAAATAAAATTCCGCTGTTATTCTAATGACAGTCAACTTTTTTTAAATGAGTTGTGTAATAAGATTCTTTATAGCGTATAATGCCAACTACAACTAGGTACAACTTTTCAAAAAGTTGTAATGAAATTCATACAAGTAGGTAATAAAATACTAATGACTAATTAATACCTAGTTTTTAACTCAGTCTTCTTCTAAGCTAAATAAAAATTAAAAGAATGAATATCTAGGTATATAATTGTAACTCAAATATCCACAAAATTGAAATATAATACCTAGGAAGATACTTAGTTTATGTTGATCCTACGCAGTACCTACGCATATCTACAGCTGCCTGTCTGCCTCCCTTACTACCGGGCAGACCAACCACCCACGATAGGTTTAGGGTGTTAGGTGATACCTACTTACATAACATATCTACCTATGTTATGTAAGTACGTTGTACGTACCTATTAGGTACCTACCCTAAGTTCAATCAACGAAGTTTAACGAGATAGGTATCGGCTTAATTTTTTAATAAACTTGTATTAATTTTGCCATTTAGAACCGCTTTTTTTATAGATGTTACTTGTAGGTAATTTCTAATAAATCTTAGGCTTATAGGTACTTACAATTAGGTACTTAAAAATATAGATAAAATTAGTTTGATATACCTATTTGTTTATTTATCAACAAGATCCTAAGATTTTTATTTAATAAACCATGGCCATTGTAAATTAACCCAAAACTTCAAAAAGGTATGCGTCACTATTTCATATTAAACGAACAATTTAAATATTACTTTAACATTGTGCGATTTTATCATACATACAACCTTCATAACTTAGCTAAGTTATTTGCCCGTTTGCCGCCTTGCAGACAAACGATATTGAATGGAATCGCTTCGCTACTAGACACAAACACAAGTATAAAAGTTTTGTTTGTGTTAGTGTGAGACATGTACAACACAACGACCGTTGCCACCGTTCACCAATCAGAGCTCAGGATTGTACCCATTCCCATATATGGTAAGGCCATCGGTTGCGGCAAGCGGGGAACTTGGGCAAGTCCATTTTTGTGGAAAAAAATAATTACATTCCTTTTTCGAATAGTAACAATTGCTTGACATATGTCAATTGGGCCTGTCAACGTGCGCATTTTGTAGGTCGTTTTAATAGTTATCGCGGTGTAATTAGTAGGAAAAAATTGTATTATTTGGCACCAACTGAGGTCCGTTGGGCGAGTCGATTGAATCGCGGGGCGCCGGCGTACGGCGTATTCTAGTGAAGCAGATCGACCGACCTCTACGAGCGAGCGAGCAACAGAAAGAAACCGGCCGGCATTCATTTCTCACGGTTCGCGAACGCTGCGGTTATTGTCTCTTCTAAGTGAATATTACTGGTAAGTAAACGATCATTATTTTAATATTCATAACGTGTTTAATGTTTTTATACTGGGCACCGAGAAGTACGGAAATTGTCCGGATTGTCTCATTTAGAAGTAGATTTGTATTAGCTTCCCGGTTTATTAATATGGCAGGAGTAGGTAGGTAGGTATTTAACTCATGACACTTATTCCCACAAAATCATAGTAGTAAAAAAAAATACAATAAGTGTCAGCTTGATAACGGAATATGCACTACTGTCTATGGCAGATAAGCGCCACTTGCTGTGCTGAATGCGCTACCGTTTCTCATCTGCAGTATTCAGTGGAGTTCTAACAGCTGTCTTATTGGAAGTGTGCCAATAAGTGTTGAACTTTCATTATCATGTATTTCGTATATACGCGCTGACTATATACAGTACGTTACTGTCTGAAGCGACCGTCTGATCGCCAAGTGTTCAATGTGAGCACCCGTTTGAGATGTCGACGTTATCAAGAGGCGCGCTATCAGCGGCGGGGGTGCGTGAGGGGTCCGGGCGGCGCGCGCAGGCTCCCTGCCGCGGAATACCATATATGGCCACGAAAACTCAACGTATTGTGCCGTACTGTGCGATTGGTTGAGAAGTCGCTGCGGCGGGGTAGGGGCGCCCCGTAAACCAGCCTCATTTATATACTCTGCCTGCCGCGTCCGCAGACATTCCACGAAGTGAGCTCGAGCAGTGGCGTTGTGCAGCATTTACCGAGGCTGTGCAATAGCGAGTTAATTTATTTATTTATTAGGACTATTTAATTAAAAGTAAGTTGATACAGATGTGTTATAATTTTTTTGTGATGTTTAGTGATAATAGTGGCGTGAGGAAATAGTGAAATCCCATTAGTGTGTGCGGGTCAGTGACACGTCGCTGGGGTTGGGTCGCGTCACGCCGGCCGGGAGTCTGGGATAGCCGGTTGCGGTAGGGCGTGGCCCAGTTCTAACTGACACTTAGCAATTTTTTTAAATCTGAACGGTCATCAGTCTTATTAGAAAGTAACTCATCTTATGAACGACTTTCTCAATCGTTAAGAGCAGAGAGCCCGCCTTAGTGAAATGTGGTCACGCCGCGTCATGTGCCACGTTTTTCCTTGTACAGTCTCTCCATACCTACATGATATCTGACCTTATTTGGTTTCAATTTGCGACTTCGACGCCCACTTAGCATTGTCCCGCAATGGTTGCGTGTGGGTCTTCTACCCACTGATTACTTAAATGGATATGAGCAGGATCATGAGCTACCGTACCGTAATAAAAAAATGTAAGTAGTATTTCTTATCTGAAGTTTAACAATTTTTTTTTTGTCAATTTCAGACTAATTCAAAATGTGCGACGAGGAAGTTGCTGCGTTGGTAGTAGACAATGGCTCCGGTATGTGCAAGGCCGGATTCGCGGGCGATGACGCGCCTCGCGCCGTGTTCCCCTCGATCGTGGGCAGGCCCCGCCACCAGGGTGTCATGGTCGGCATGGGACAGAAGGACTCGTACGTAGGTGACGAGGCCCAGAGCAAGAGAGGTATCCTTACCCTCAAGTACCCCATCGAGCACGGCATCGTCACCAACTGGGACGATATGGAGAAGATCTGGCACCACACCTTCTACAACGAGCTGCGTGTGGCGCCCGAGGAACACCCCGTGCTGCTCACGGAGGCGCCCCTCAACCCCAAGGCCAACAGGTAGGTGTCTCTCGTCCAGTGCGCCAGCACTTGTATACATCTGTATTCTGCATAGAAGGCCAGCTGACCGTACCGTTTGTTTCGCAGAGAGAAGATGACACAGATCATGTTCGAGACCTTCAACACGCCCGCCATGTACGTCGCCATCCAGGCTGTGCTGTCGCTGTACGCGTCCGGTCGTACCACCGGTATCGTGCTGGACTCCGGTGACGGTGTCTCCCACACGGTGCCCATCTACGAGGGCTACGCCCTGCCCCACGCCATCCTGCGTCTGGACTTGGCCGGTCGCGACCTCACAGACTACCTGATGAAGATCCTCACCGAGCGTGGCTACTCCTTCACCACCACCGCCGAGCGAGAAATCGTGCGTGACATCAAGGAGAAGCTCTGCTACGTCGCGCTCGACTTCGAGCAGGAGATGGCCACCGCTGCCTCCAGCAGCTCCCTGGAGAAGTCCTATGAACTTCCCGACGGACAAGTCATCACCATCGGTAACGAACGATTCCGTTGCCCTGAGGCTCTCTTCCAGCCCTCATTCTTGGGTATGGAAGCTTGCGGCATCCACGAGACCACTTACAACTCCATCATGAAGTGCGACGTCGACATCCGTAAGGACTTGTACGCCAACACAGTCCTGTCCGGAGGTACCACCATGTACCCTGGTATTGCTGACCGTATGCAGAAGGAAATCACTGCTCTGGCTCCATCCACAATGAAGATCAAGATCATCGCGCCCCCAGAGAGGAAGTACTCCGTATGGATCGGTGGATCGATCCTCGCCTCCCTCTCGACCTTCCAGCAGATGTGGATCTCGAAACAGGAGTACGACGAGTCTGGCCCCTCTATTGTGCACAGGAAGTGCTTCTAAGCGATCCGCGACACGCTGCCTACAGCAGCCCGCGGCCCGGCCGGTCCCGCGGCCGGCTGCTCAATTCAGGCTTGTAATCTCCGTTAATTTAATTGTACGTAAGATATTATTGTAATTAAATCGTAATAGTGACGGCAGGACGGAGCGCGGCGCCGCGGGCGCGCCTCGACCGCCGGCCTCGGTACTGCACTCGCCAAAGGATCTTTTTGTAATCTCATGAATGATGATTGTATGTGCTGAAACGGATAAGACTACTTTCTTACTAGGTCATTTATAAATTATAAAAAATGATGAAAATACAAAAAAAATCTGAAAAATTTATCTGTCTTTTCTTTACCCACATACCTACCTAACCCGTTAGTACAATTTGTACATCATCTATGACGTATACCTATAGAAACAAAATACAAAACAAACCAATGCATTGGTTCGTTATCTGAGAGCAACGGCCGACATTGACCTATGTTCGAAAATAGAACGAACGAACTTTGAGCAAGGTCCAGAAATAGCCGTCTGTAGTGTTTACTCGCACTGTAGGGAAGCCTTGTCGAAACAAAGTTACGTATGCATATGCAATCAAATTGATAAGATACCAAAAAGTAAATGCCCATGTTTGTAGATAGTGGTCAATCCATTATAAATCTATGGGTCAATCAAACGACCCATCAAATACCTATATGAAAAAGATAAGTCTCACTGTAGTATTAGTGGGGTACCTTCGGTCGAGTAGTCAAAAAAGATGGCTAGGGTGGGTAGGTACTATTTTTACCTGTACCTGTTTTTTATTTCCATCTAGTTTCCTCTCTTCTACAGAACGAAGTCCAACGCAAGATTACAAGCAAAATGTACCTATACCTACCTACTTCATTATAATTTGCTACGAAATTAAGGTCGCCATTGCTATAGTATAAAAAAATGTAGGTAACTTTCGCCAAACTTTCTGAAGCCACCGAGATGAGCCTTGATGCGATCACATCTCATCATCACCTATAAATCAAAACATGTGAGTGTTAGAAACCTGATTTTCATTAATTGTTATTCAATTATATTCGATTGTAAAAGTTAAGTGGTATAAAGGAAAAAATAGAATCTCCTTTCTTTTTTACTAAAGTCGGTTACAAAAACGGACTAATTAATTTAAAAAACGAATAATTTGAGAATATGGCTTATAAAAAAAATTTCGAGTGATGCTATTTGACCTGACGGTACACGGGACAGAAACGCTGCTAGTCCGAATACACTTGCAACAGCAGAGGTATCACGAATGCGCATGTTAAAAGGTGCAATAATTATTTTAAAATATATAGGTATTAAAACCTTCGCGTAAGTGTAACAAACACTTATGAAAACCGCTTCAAAAGACATACCTACGTACAGTCAGAGTAGTGTACATACAGGTTAAACTGAGAACCATTTTTTTTAAGTCGATTAAAATAGTTTTGAGCCGTTGTCATCGTTTTAAAATAAACATTTTCTAATGAAATATTTGAAATGGCAGAGGTGTGACCTGAAAGCAGTGCCGGCTTTATGTTATTTTTAAGGGGGGAAATCATTCAATGACTTCTACCGCCTTGGGCCAGGCGAGAGGGAGTGTCAGACTCTTACTAACTAAAAACCAACCGTTCTACCCCTGCTCTTTCGAGTCGGAGCCCCGGCAACCCGTTAGGCCTTCCGCGGCTCGAAATTGACGATAGCCGCACAGCTCTCATCTATCATTCACTAGGTTTCGATAGGAACGTAGTTTCTATAGGGATGAATAAATTTAAAGTATAATAACCATTGTCGTGTTTGACTTTTATCATCTTAAATCGAGTGACTGTCCTCTAAAATCTGCCGCCCGTAGGCAGCAGCCTATTTATAAATCCAGCACTGCCCGAAAGATCGATTATGTATATATATATATATATATATATCTACAAGCCTTGGATCATAATCAGGGTTCCCAAATTGTAACCCTTCATATAGGAAGGACCATAGACTTTCTGATAAGATAATGCTTGCCATTGACCCGTAACTAAATTACCGGCCGAAGTGAACTCATTACGATAACTGATTGGTTATTCTAAGTCGTAATTTAATGATAATACATAGTTGGAATATGCCGCAGCAACTTAAATAGGTAGATAATAAGTCCAAGTGCAGGGCACGTAAGTTAATAAACATACAAAATGACACATAGATATTTTAACGATGAATGACGTCATTCTTGTAATATGTATGTTCGTCAAGGCATTGTTATATTATTCAGTGTATTTTTTTTATTTATTTTTATCATCGGTTACATATTTCCATAAATCATTAATATATGTAGTTTCTATGAATCATTTTGACGAAGAAATTAACTTGTTTCAAAAAACATAAGAAATCATAGAGTAAATAAAATTGCAATTTATCATACGACTTTTTATTTCGAACATCACAAATATTCCACATAATTAGCAGTATCGGTTAGTTAAAAACATAGTAAAAATTAACAAGATAAAACTGTCAAAATTTATAAAAAAACATCGGGCGTGGGGTTCGGCGCTAATAAGTGTAAGTTTATTGTCATAATATATTAATCAAACTATAAACTTTGTACAGACACTACATATATTTTTATTTATTCCGAAACACCATTGTACTCAGTTCTACAGTATTAAGTTGACTTATAAATTATGCATAATATTATTCTCTTGAAGAAAAGAAAGGAAACACGATGCGTCGAAAAATATAACTCCGATTAATTGACATGATTTATCTTTTAAGATTAAACTCTGAGACAATTCAACATTCATTTATGTTTACGATTTCACTTTATTTTTCTGTAAAGAGATAAACACACAATAACCACGTCTATATTTCATCCCATGATAAGCTTTCGATTTCAAACGACACAAGATAATACGTAAACACCAACAAATCACTGATAAGAAATACTATAAATATTTTTGGTACAACATTTGCTTGCCAATTTAATTAAAACCATTTTTCACTGGAAATATATTATTTGTTAGTGGTAACTTTATACTACATAAACCTACTTGAACATTAAAAACTTCGAAGTCTGTGTGTACTACATACATAGTCTTATTTTCAAAGTTTTCATTCGACATGATAACGAGCTAAGGAAGAGAGATAAGAGGTGAATTTTGGCCCTATTATTATAAAATCTAATAAAAGAAACAATAATATTAAATTATATCTTAGTTCTCAAACGGTAGGCAAAAAGTGTACCCATCATAGGGTACACGTAATTATCAGTCGTTAAACCAGTCCCTTAAAAATAGGGATCAGGATTAAAACAAACAAAAAAAAATCCAATGATTCTTCACAGTTAATATAAAAATTGTAACAGAAACAATTTGGAAGGTTTAAGTGAGACAAAACTACGACTTAATAACGGTATTTTACCGTTCTAGAGTTAACACAAACCTGACGTGGGTGGTAACTCGTAATAATAGGACCATAGAACAAGCAGTGCTTAAATATTTACAAACTATATTATCTTCTAGTAAGATTCTCAAAATTGCAGGGATGTTAGGCTCCTACAGTGGCTACATTAGATTTTGAGACAAACCATTAAACACTTAACAATATATTGGCATAGAATTTATTAAAATCTAACGGGACTAGCTCCTTCATTAAGCCTAGTTACTCAATAAAATAGTGTGGATTTAGAAACGAAATACGACAGCTGTTATACAAGTATATAATACTAGTAGCTACCTGATTTATAAACAAGAACAACCATGATTACGATTCGATTAGTGAATTAAATTAATGCCTCTTTGCGTATTATGTAAATTCCATGACATAAAATTAAATTTCTTTTAGACTTCATCAAAATTCATATCGCGTTTCTAAACCAACAGTACATACACATAATTATAAACTAATTAATATTAATATTATGAAATAAAACCTTAATAGAATAAAAACTTAAAATTCATTAAAAATCTAAGTATAAATACAGTTAAAAAGTACTCAGAACAACTAAGCGTATTGCGGACATTGTGCGGTATCGGAGATTTCATGAACGTTACTTCACTGGTTGCAAGCACACAAGTTCATAGTCTTACAGTCACACAGTTTTTGTACTATCAATATTAAGATTTATAATATAAGGCCACTTTACACTACACTCAATATGCCTAGGAATGATTTCTATCCTCATTACTGAACACAATTGATTGGACGAGTTTTCCAGTTTCCACTGTTCACAGTTCACAATGTTCAATTCCGTGACATCTCAATTCCTTAAGAAATAGTTTAAGTGTATGCTACGTCTCACTATCCTTTATACTATCTTCCGTGGCCCTGCGGATGTCCGACAGAGCGTTGCCATGGACTCTGAACCTGTACACGCAGGTGTAGGTAGGGTTGCCATGGTTACTCTCAACTCTCAGCTCGATAATGTCGTAAGCGACCGGGTACTCGACGCCGCCGATGTTGGTCGTCTTCGGGTATTTGACTGGGAAGTACTGTATGGCCGTGCCATTGGCGTTGTACTGATAGTCGCCGAACAAATGCGGGTCGGGGTCCATCTCGCCGTGCAGACCCTGCAAGCATATTTTTAATGGTACTTCGAATAAAATGTGAAAGAAGAAAGACAATCAAAGTACAAAGAGTAAGAAAAGTTGGGTACAAACTTTTGTGCAGAATATGGGCTGTTGGGGTTTAGTGCAATCCGACCACACAAGGGAATGCGGGGTTTTAGCGGGAACACGTGAACAAAATCAGATAAAAAGCAGAAACAGAAAGTATGGCTTGGATGGACTGCTACGCAATATGTCGCGGGTTCAATTTTTGTGTGATGCACAACCCGTTGTTTCGGGTTTGGATGCGATTTGTGTTTTAAAGTTTGTTATAACACACCCAACCACGACACAGCAGAAAATTTTAGTGTAGGGTCACATTTTTTGTTTTTATAAAAAGAGGAGAAATATAAAAATTGTAAATCTGGTTTGGTAGAAATACATGTTAATGAAGCGAAAGAGGTATGTAAGAATCGTGGTTATTGGCGTTCCTTAGTCTCTGCCTACCCCCATGGGAGACAGGCGTGAAGTTACGTATGTATGTATGTAGAAATAAATATAAAACTACGTACGTAGACTGAGAAGTTCTTCGGTGCAGACTCGATCTTGCCTTCAACTGCCAACAGCCGAGACATGTGCTCCAACGAGAATCCTGTCACTTCGATAATAGCGTATGTGCGCACCACTGAAATAAATGAACAGAAATGGATATAAGCAAAGCACATATATACAAATTTTACCTAGTCTCAAGGGCGTCAAATCCAAAATGTAGTAGTTCATACTACAAAATAGAAGGTCATTA